TCCCGCTTACTCGCGTTCCGCACCGCGACGGATTGCACACGGTTGCACGGAGAGGATTCCGACGGCGTTCTCGCGAAGTTCGACTTCTCGCGAAGTCACCTTAATGCCGCGCCACCGCCTCGAAATGATTGCGCCCCGCGTGCCTCTCGGCAGTTCGTGTGTTTATTTATAGCCACATTTCGCTCCAACCTCACCAAGAACAGAGAAATGAGACGCCCGCTTGCGCGGGCCGCACCTTCTCCCGCACCAGATCATATTATCGTCGGTGATTTCTCGCTGCGCACGTTATCGATAAAGGGCCATTCTGATAAGCTCCTTATAAACAGGGTCCGTGGGGTTTGCCGGTGAGGTTGAAGTGGAGGTATCTGCGGAGATGCTTTCACGACCGATATCTGGCGATATTACCTTTTTGTCATTGTGCTGAATCGCTATATCCATATCGGGTTGTGCCTTCAGAGAGAAGAAATACGGGACATTCTCGTCGTCGTTCTCACCGTCATCGACTCGTGTCCCTCGCCAGCTTCCTGGTCGCATCGTATCTCGCTACTTGTTCGAGCTGTAAGATCAAATAATATCGCGGTTGTTGATTTAAAATATTCTCAAAATAATTGATATAATTTTTACGACACACGCGCACGCAACACTACTGCTAAGAGAAAAGCGATTACTCAGTTTCTTCTTCTTCTTTTAAGTAATAATTATCTTTAAACGCGCGTTACAAAGAATATTTTATTTTTATGTAAAATTCTAGGAAAATCCGTTGTTGCGTATCCAACAGAAGAATTTGTTTTCTTTACAAAGTATCATGAAATTTGGTCGAAGAAAAAGTTGATTCAACTTGTAGTAAGCGAACCGAATTTCTTTTAACTTAAATTCTTGACGTTTGAAACGTTAAACTTACGCAGAGAGAATTTTGTAATAAAAATTACTGTAGAATTTTGCAACTGGAAGAATAGATCGATATTCTGTCGTAATTGATTATTATTTCATCTCATATGTATGCTACTATATTTGAATTGTAAAATGTATTATTAAAAAAAATTAGCTATATTTCTATCGAAATTTGCTGCATTCCTTAGCAAGATAATCTTTATTAATAGTTTACTTCAGCACTATTGGAAACAGTAAAATTGACAAGAATTTATATGAAATTAAATTATAATATTCTCTCCGTATGTTAGGATTCAGAATGTATCTTGAATAAATTTGGTTCTTATGATGGACTCGTAATAGATTTGCAAATATATAAATGCTAACAAAAGAATTGATTATAAAATAACCTGACGAAACGCTTTTAAGACATACGTATACTATTGTACGTGTGCTACTAACAAAGACATAAGGAAAATAGGTGGCAATGCGATTGATACGTTGTTTCTCTCTACAAGTAAAATTCGATATGTGAACTTACGAAACACTTAGACAAGTGACATTCACTCGAATGCAGTATATATTTTTCTGTGCGCGGCAACTTTATGCTCCGTCAAATCACGTTTATGGCGCGAAACACATTTCACAAAATTAGACGTACGTTTCGCGACATCGCAAGCGAGATTTTCACGCACGGCGTGTCGCACATATCGACGTTACATGATATTTAATATCGCATTTTCCGAAGTATATTTTACGCGCGACGGCACCCCGACAGAAACAGATTGCGGCTCGTCGATTCACGTAAGCTCCGAGTGATTTCGTCAGCCGATCGCGTTTTGTCGAGTGTGTTACGAGCGAATCATTAATCTCTAGGCTCGATATCGGTCCAGTGTTTCCACCGACATGGAATTTGGATACTCAATAAACACTCAAATTCCCTCACTCGCTCGTTCTTTCTTTCATTGCCGCGCTAATGTGCAAACGGAGACGATGATAAATTGATACGGCCCGGCGACAATCATTTTCCTGCTACTGCGATTGAGACAATTCGCCACTTGCAATGCGCCGCGCGCCGCGAATATCAACGTCCCCCGAGACGAATCGTCCGACCATTAACACACAACTTCCACGCGTTTCACTGTGTCGCATTTCGCCAAAAACTGATGTATATGGGATTGATATGAGCGCAGTAATGCGACTGTCTCGCGACGAGACGTGACATTACAACGTAAGATAAAAAAAGCACGCGCGATAAGCTGCGGGATGAATTTTGCCGCGGGAAGCGCATGTAAATATGATGAAATATTCACGTGAGATTACGTTATTACGTGCTGTATTTAATAAGAGACCGACGCGTTTGTAAACGTTTCTGTTGACCCTAGCCAATCGACGATTGTCGTTTCTCGCACACGACATGGTACCCAAAAATATAATCTTATTCTTAGCGGATATCCTCTTACATGTGGCTTCAAGGAAAAGATTCCTCTAAAATCAAAAAGAAAGTATTCCAACATCGAAAACAGGAACTCAAGCTTCTATTTTCTGTAATCCCATATTTTAAGCAAAAATTCGAAAGAGTATTCCTCTTCTCTTGAAGTGAACTATTAATCGGAAAAATTTATACTGATAGGAAAATTAAGAAATTTATTAAAATTTTTATATTTTAATATTTAAATTTATATTTAAATATTTTATAAAAAAAAAATATTTAAAAAATCGTAAATATTTCTTTGCTGGGTATTAATAACATACATTTACTTAAATTTTTCTAAATTATTTTATTCAAATGGAATCAACAATTGTTTTCATAAAAAGCTAAGATTTTCTTAAAATCACAAAAATATATATTTTCTTACTCTTAAAAAATATTTTATATTAGTATAAGTTGTATTAGTTAATATATAGTTTAATAGAGTTATATTAGTATAATTTATACTAATTATTTTTCTGTGTGATTATAGTTATACAAGTACTAGATATGTTTTTTCAATGTAGACATTGCTCCAACCTTTTTCCTCTTGAATACGTTTAATTGAACCAGAATGCTTTCGTACTAAAACAAGATTTTTATTTTAAAGATTTTCATATAAAAAAACAAATTCCTCGAACTTGAAGAGATTGCGCTTAGAATGTTTTCCCTTTGGTTCTAGGAGAATCTTCTTGAGGTCGCAATATAAGAGGATATTCTCTAAGTATTTAAAGTTGCATTGTTCCGGATGCGGCAATTAGAGCAAGCTCCGAAACGTCATTAACACTCGCGACGCGACCGATCGCGGTGTGGCGGCAACTTAGTTTTACTTCTGCACGAGAAGCCTGGCCAAGTGGCTATCAAACGTAACGATTGATTGCAGCGGACTAATAGCGACCTGATTGATTGCCGTAATGCTATTCGGATGTTCGCTTCCGCGGTGAACGCTTTCGAACGTTGACCACTGTCCACCTCACTGTCAACATCAATTTCGCACAAACGCGAAATAGCGCGCGCGTATACTTCACATTTCGGGCTATTTTCGATCGCGGCGATATCGCGACCGGATTTCCTGCCCGATATCTGTCCGTTATTTATCGGCGTCGCGTCGCCGGCACCGTCGCGCCGCGATCGCGGCTCTACCCTTACGAATTTATTCCCTTACGGATTTATAATTTGCGTTCCCACGCGATGAAAATCCTCCTTCTTTTGTTCGGCACGAAGAGGCGAGGAAACTCGGAAATTCTGCATACTTGAGCGTGCCACAAATTCCTTTTGTTCATTTCTGAAACCGAAAACACGATGGACATTTATTCAACCTCGCGCGGAGGATTACCGTGTGCAAGGTCTCGTCAAAATCGACGAGCCGTGATTTCCTAAATATCACGACAACGCGCTTTATTTCCCTTCATGGCGCACAGTGTGGTTAAATGAAATTTTACGTTGCAAAAAGAACTATAATCTCGAAATTTAAACCGATTCCGACGCTTTTTCTTTTCTGATGAAAGCTAACGAAATTTAAAACAACTTTGTCGTGCCAGATTTTTGTCTTTTGCTTGCTTTCTTCTGAATCAGACATAAAGAAGTTAGATTTGAAAAATTTCTTTCAATCAAACAGTTTGTAACGAGTATATCTTAAGACTGTTGTCAAGAAAATATTCCTTGTTGAAGATTACCGCTTATTTAATTTAAAGTAAATTAAATAATCACTTTTCTGAGCAGTGGAATGATATTTTTCTGTATACAAAATATATAAGTCTTTATCTGGTTTCCTTCAGTTTGTTTTTAGAGAGCTTGCTAAGACTAATATAAAAGACTAATAGAATTTAAGAGAGCTCTCTAAGGATCTTTGCATGTAGAAAAATTTTAACCGTAACCGTAAGATCGTAAGAAAACTGACCAATCAGAGTTGATTATTCTCCTTGCGTTCGAGAAATAATCGACTGTGATTGGTCAGTTTTTTTACGACCTTACGGCTACGGTTAAAATTTTCTACGTGCAAAAGCCCTAAGACTAATAATAAGATAAACGTTGTTCTATCTCTTTTCACACATCGTCGCGGATGCGGGCGACACGAATTTCTCGTCGATCATAAAATCGACGAAAGAGAACAGCAACGTGACTCGCAAGTACGCGTGATAAGATTGCATTACGCGCGAGAACGTAAAGCGAACCCCCCCCCCTTTCTCTCTCTCTCTCTCCTCCCTTCCTCTCTCCCTCTTTCTCTCTCTCTTCCTCTGTCTTTCTTTGAGAAAGGCTGCCCCTATTATATATCAGACAGGACGATACAAGTCGCTCCGACTTGTTTGATTTTTTCTTTCTCTCTTTTCTTTTCTATTCCTTTCTTCACGTTATTATTACTGTTATAATTTAATATTAAGTTTTCTCAAAGCATTAATCTCTCGCGTTTCGCTTCCCCCGCCGTGGTGGAGCTAAGTATATAATCCGATATCTCCGAGAAAATTCTTGTATTCCTATAATGAGATTCGCGAGTGCGCCGTTGGCAATAAAGAACCATGCTCGTCAGAATTAACAGAGAAAGAGAGAGAGAGAGAGAGAGAGAGAGAGAGAGAAGGAGGGAGGGAGGAAAGAAGAGGTAGGGGAAGGGAGGCGAACATTCGCGCGCGTTCCTTATATCACGAGATTAAAAGAAAATATTTCATGAGATAGCTACTTGATCGGCGGTCTTCTTCCAATGCTTGTAACGAGATCTGTACAGAGTGGCCTGATGAGCGAAATTTTCCAGCAGCTCAATCATTTCCTCGCGGTCTTTTGATGCGTTGAGAGAGAGGGGAGAGAGAGAGAGAGAGAGAGAGAGAGAGAGAGAGAGAAAGAGAGAGAGAGAGAGACGCTGAGCAAATTAAACGACCGTCTATCCTGACCGAGTGCGCGTATATCTATGTATGAAACCGTCGAAACTACAAATATTTGCCGAACAGACGACACACCCGTTCGCGGAAAAGCGTGTAACGTCTCTGCAAGATAGTTGACGGAGTCGTATCTTACAGACGTTATCGAGAACTAGCAGGGCTGGTATCTTCTCGGTCGGCGCGCGATCTAATTTATTCGTACAACAGTCTCTCTCTCTCTCTCTCTCTCTCTCTCTTTCGCTCTTTTTCTGTCCCTCCTTCCTCCCTGTACCTCTTTCGTTCTTTTTCTTCTTACCGCCTATATGTTGTATTCATTATTCGCCGATCGATATTTATTACGTAGACGTAATAAGCCCGCGCGTAGAATAGCGATGATATCGGAGGATCGTCGGTCGGGGAACAAAGGAAGACAAGGGTGAAAGGGGAAGAGAGGGGGGAGAGAGGGAGAGAGAGAGAGAGACGCCACTTGGGAGCTTCTCGATTGCCCCTCTGTGAAACGCCCGGGATCAACGATTGCACGGGAATTACGCGCAAGCGATCCCCCACGGATAAAGTTACCCGAATCGTTTCCATTTGATCCGCTTCCTCCTCGACCGAAGGAGTCAAGGGCCGCCACCTTGTCCCTATTGGCCAGGTCGTCCTGGTCTTCTCTGCCTTCGCGGCCACCACCGTCGCCGGGACTGTCCCTTCAACAAAAGCCAATATTCCTGCAGACAATGCTGAAGATCCCATTGTACAGAGCTCGTCCGAGAGCCTCGGCCGCGCAGGTGAAATGAAATACGTCGCGGAACGTCACGCGCAATCCGTATACGTCAGGTGGTGCGCCAGATTAAGCGCAGCAGTCGCAGACGGATCTGACGTGCGCGAGAGACGGGATCACACGGGATCCGGAAACACGTCAGCCTCGGTCGACCGTGCCAATACGTATCGTCCCGCGAAGAATCGCGCGTCAATTTTTTCAGGCGCGCTCCTCGTAAATACTCGGAAACCCGCGCGGTCATGCGGAAAGCAATTTCTCGGGAGAAATGAACAAGAGGCGCGAAATGCAATGTTATCACGCGGAACTTGGATGTGCACGCGAGCTGTGCTTGAGAGTCATCTCCATGGAGTAAGAATCGCGTATTATCGCCCAGCCGAAGGTCAGACGTGCCAAAATGGTCGCACATTTCCGACGTAGATAATCTCGCGGTAAAGCGCGATTTCGCGACAAGATTGCCGGCGGAAGCGCTCGCCGCCGCGTTTTCCGCGACTTCTCGGCATTATATTTGGCGAAAATGAACGAACCAGAAAATTGTAGTTGAAGTTTCCAGAATTTCGTACAAGTTAACGAGCTTCCTGGTTAAACTTAAACAGAGTTCTGGTAACTTCAACTGCAATTTTCTGTTCGTTCATATCTTACTACAGGAATTTGGTCAATCTAACTAAACTTTTTTTCGGCGAAGATAATTAATTGGAATTGAAATCAATCTGGCCAGGATCATAGAATAAATTTCTAGTGTGGTTTCTTCATCGTGCAAGGACACTCGCAGTTATGATTGCAGTAATTATTTCCGAGAGGAAACTTCTTCAGATCGGATTTTTTCAGAGAATCGGTCCCAGTTATTCTCGCTTGTACCGCAATACTCTTTTAGGCCGGATTTTATTAAAAGCGGACGCCTCGTGTGAAAAATACAGCCCTTAATAACGACCACAATTTCGACCAAACGTCAGCATTCGTTTCGTATTTCATGCTACACAGTTTAACATGCGCGCGCTACACTTTGATATTATATTAAACACATAAAATCCCGCAGTATCAGCCGAGCGTCGCAAAACCCACCTGAAAATCCTCCGCAAAGCCATATGAAATCTGTTTAGGACAACGGACAAAAGCCATCATGAGTGACTCGCGACCGCGACTGGAAACAATGTTCGTGGCTTCATGTCACGCGTTTACGCCGAAAATAATATCCGCCGTTTTCCGGCCCGGCGTACGCGACCCCTCGATTCGACCCGACGTGATTTCGTCTCGCCGTCACCCCCGAGACGATAACGACGTGTTTTAAGGGTCGCATTCGCACCCACGTTTTCAGCACACGGCAGCGCCGGAAATTCGGGAAATACAAGTGTTTTCCGTATATATACATATGTATATATACCGTTGTTGAGATTACGGGACGCGTCTCTTTCGCTTCCTCCACGTGCTCTCTTCCTCCCTCTCCTTCACCTGCTCCTCCTCCAGTTTCACCGGCATTATCGGAGATTTCGTCGGACTTAGCGTTTGCCTACGAAACGAAAGACAAACACTTGTGCATTAAGGATCATGAAGTCTCGGATAACAGGCTGGCGGGCTGAAACGACGCGAACAAATAGTTGCCCGCCAGTGTGCTCTGAAATTTTTATCCGCTCGTGTTCTCCTCTCTTCGCTTGCTTGGGTATTTTCGCAAACGTAGAGATGCCGATTCGTGATGTCTATGTATCTAATAAATATTTTCAGCGTATATCTACACCATGTCGCCGCTCGAACAAGTCCGCGTTAAGTTCGCGAAGCGTAGTCTAAGAATTTTATTCACCAGATATGCTAACATTAAGATTTGAAAAGGCAAATAAGGAGCTAGTACGGATGTCTTAGTGCTATTAAATACTAATATTACTTTTTATTAATATTAATATGATAGTGGAAGGATAAAAATGTCCAGCATGTCAAACGCACGTATCGAAATTTTTCTTCGATTATCGTACGCGGCGAATCAACCTTTCATATATGAAAGGTTGATAACATTGATAGTATTTAATAGCACTAAGACATCCGTACTAGCTCCTTATTTGCCTTTTCAAATCTTAATGTTAGCATATCTGGTGAATAAAATTCTTAGACTACGCTTCGCGAACTTAACGCGGACTTGTTCGAGCGGCGACATGGTGTAGATATACGCTGAAAATATTTATTAGATACATAGACATCACGAATCGGCATCTCTACGTTTGCGAAAATACCCAAGCAAGCGAAGAGAGGAGAACACGAGCGGATAAAAACATTGATAACATTATATATGTTGCGAAAAAACTGCCTCCGCCTTTTCGCCTTTTTCGCAACATATATAATGAATCTATTTGAGTCATCGGTTTAATGGGGTTTGGGAATTTTAAAAATATATATGTAAAAAATTGGGACTCAAGTCTAAGTATGAAAGGTTAATTCGCCGTGTACGATAATCGAAGAAAAATTTCGATACGTGCATTTGACATGCTGGACATTTTTATCCTCCCACTATTATATTAATATTAATAAAAAGTAATATTAGTATTTAATAGCACTAAGACATCCGTGCTAGCTCCTTATTTGCCTTTTCAAATCTTACTGTTAGTTATACAAAGGAGCTTTTTATAATTTCGGTTCACCAGATATGCCTTTTTCACCCAAGGCACGTGTTTTCAGCGACCCGTCAAGAGAGTTATCCATAAATTCATCGAGCGAAATTATATTTTCATATATTTATTTCACTATCTACATAACAAAAATTAATTTAAAAGTAACCACGTTTTGCTTAGTACAGTGCTACTCGAGGCATAAAACAGCAATTTCCTGGCCTACAATGGACCATTACACGAAAACAAAAATGTACAATATATGTACAATTGCTATGTACAATGTACAACAAATAGGGAAAACGTTCGACGCTCGGCCTGTTTTCAGCACTCTGGCGCGGATGTTGACGGGTATTGAGATATTTAAAAGTGGGGATTTAAAAGAAAACGAATGAGAATAAGTATCCAATAATAATAGATAAGTAATCAATAAGCAATTCATAAATCCCCGTACATCTTGATGTTTGATGGATGACGAGGACAAAGATACCGAAAACTGATGAGTGCTGTAACGAGTATCGGCTATACGAGAACATTTTCCTCTACTATTCTTCTTTCTGCACGGGAAAAGCAACTCCGTTAGTGTAACTGAATTTTCTGTTATCTGGGAACCGGATGAAAAACTCGGTTGTAGGAACAGAAAAATTCCCGTGGGAGGTTTCTACTTGGCCAATTGCTCTCGGTTACCTCGACCGAGTTTTAATGCAGCTGAATGTTCAGACGAATTGTCTCGGTCACACAGCAACAGAGATATATCATTTCTCGTCAGCGAGTTTTCGTCCGGGCCTCATTCAGTTGCACGAACTGAAAGTATTTCACAAACGGCGCGGGGCGAAACGCATGAAACTTTAACTACGAATGTGCTCCGCTGCGATAAATTTTGCACAATTTTAGGCATTTCAGTTTATAAGTGAATGAACTGAAGGCGGTGTTATATGTCACGCGATAGAAGAATGGCGGATACTGGATATTACAGTCGTGGAATGCACGCAATATCGCGCTGTTTGCGACCGACGTTTTCGAATATGGACGACAAATACCACTCCTCTTTTCTGTCCCGAATTCGGCGAGCAAACACTTTTTTCCTCGCGATTGCAAGACAAATTCGTGCTGATGTGAACAATTCTCTGTATTACCGCTCTCTAATAAATACATATCCCGACATATAATGAAAAAAGATCAATTTATCCTCTAATTTATCAGAGGCCGAGAGTCGGTCGGTTAACCGGAGGAAACATATAAAATGAAGATGTAATGTTCCCGATAAAACTATCGCGTGACATATAACACACGCGTTCACGGCAGTATGCACGCACGTGACACACGTACATATGCCAGGCACGTGCGTAACCCTCCTCGCACTTATTCTCCCCTCGGCCGCCAAGAAAAGCTTTGACAGGTCGTTACGCGAAAGATTAATTCTCGGCTAAGCTCGATCTTTATTACACGTACGACGGAAAAAGACGCACTCTATCTAGGATAATCTATGATTTAACGTTGCGGGGGATACTGCCGACCTTTCGGAAATCCTAATACTGATGGTCAATTTTATCGAAACGATAAACGGAAACTTCTTATATGATTCAGTGCCGACTCGAGAAGGTGAGACAGAGAGAGAGAGAGAGAGAGAGAAACCCTGTTTCTTCGTGTAATTCAAGTAGAAAATTACAATACAGAATTGCGGCTGGTCTCGCTAACAGCTGTGTGTGACTGTGTGTTTAGGATGATCGAAGATTTCAGGATTTCCAGCAGCGTGTTTCGACGGTTCGGCATAGACAATCAAAACCATTCGGACACGACACGTACAAAGATAGGGAGAAACACGACCGATCGTTAGCATCCCCTTTAGTCATTAACACAGTACACAGCCAAAAGTACAAGCTGAACTATACCTGAAATATTGTAGTGAAAATTATTATTTTCCCTACCAGAAAAAATTCGTCGATCTATACTTCCGCTGTGAAAAAAGTTCCAACATTTTTTGACAGATAAGTAAAATTTTTGGTCATAATTCCGATCTCGAAGATCACGAAAATTTCGTTGTAATGTGATTCGTAAAATTGTAACTATACGATGTCTTCTCCGTACACTCTCGTATGTAAGTTGCAGCAGTCCGTAATTTAGCGAATTAATTGTCGAGTTACTCGCATGCGTGGACAGACGGCGACGGTGTCGGACCTTTGGCAATGACACTTTCAGTCAATCGAAATTAGAGCACCGGGGCCCTGTGTATCCCGATTTCCTCCAGGGAACGACAGGTCGTGCACCGAGCGCGTTCGATTAATCTTTACGCGGCGTGTGTGGCGGCAGAGTCGCGGAGATGCGGAGCGCTCGGTCGCGCAAAATGGGGAATCGAGGCGTGTCGTTGGCGTTTCCGCGCACGAGAGACATTGTTTGTGCGATTTGAGCGCGTTTAAATCGCGCGACATTGCACGCGGTAAGACAACGCGGATCTCTCTCATCGCGAGGCAAATACGCATGGCGTCGGCTCGCTTCTCCGCGTACCGTTGCGCTCACCTTCCTCTTCTCATTACGCGGTTGTCCGGTTACGTCAGCGTCGTAACAATACTCAAGATACGCGCGCGCACATATACACACATTTTGGGTGCATACGTTCCGGATAGAAGAAGCGGCTAGAGACCTCGTGTCCATCTGTTTCGCAACACCTCGCGGCAAGTTCTGCTGACGAATGAAAAGTAGCCGAGTAACTAGACGTAACTTAACTAGACGGCCATTTGAGTAGGTAATGCTGAGAATTAAAAAGTTCCAACGTCGTAAGCTCCGAAGCGGTATAAACGGTGTAACGGCACGTTATTTTCCAATTAATTGCCGGAGAGTCTCGCTCCGTCGAGAATTCAATTTGCGATGCCGTAGTAATTGAACTATTAATCCGTCAATGCAGCTTAAAGAACCGTTGGCCTAGGGAGAACAGCTATTAACTCATTACAGCGGGGGAGAGGCAGTTATATAAAAGCCGCGGTATCGGGAGAATCGCGGGAATACGTTTTCATTTGGCGTATCGTATCGTCAGTTCTTTAAACCGATCTTCAGTTTCTGATAATCGAGCCCTTGAGACGGTCGGCGAGAATCGACGTCGTCCTTAGGGTGTGTCAAAGTTTGATCTCGGTCCTCGAGCTGTTCGAACTGTGCCAACTATTCGAATTGTGCGATCAGTCGACACAGTTCGGCTCGCCGGGCTTTATACACGAAGGGTGAAGGCAAACATCGATTCGACGCATCTCTCTCTCTCTCTCTCTCTCTCTCTCTTCATCTCCCAACCGGTTATCGATACAGCGAGATAACATTGCTACTTACAACGGATTCAATCTTTCTCCCTCCCGGGGTTTCGTCGTTCGCTGCCATTTCGGCTATCCGCGTGATCAGATCGAAGTGCGCCCGTAGCCATTTGTGCCATTCGTCGACTATCTCGCCGACTATCTATGCCGGTAAGCCAAGCCATCTAGACCCGCAGCTTTTCCGACGGCGTACGGGCGTTCCATCGACCGCATGACCTCCCTATGCGTCGCTACCTTATATCAGATAAGTTCAAGTTTCGCCGATTCACCTCGCTTGGAGAAACAATATAACGAAGAGGGGGCGGTAGCTGCAACGGCATGTTGACACTCACGTGTTTAACAAATTTGTGCGAACTCTCTTCGCGGTATATTAGAATAAGTTACTCTCACAAGTGGCACTTTTTGCTTTTGAGCCCGTCCTTCCACCAGCTATAAGAATATCATTACAGTGAAGAATACAGTCTCTTTGATTATACTTTAGAGCAGTACGTTCTCAACAATCCTTCTCGCAACTAACATATTCCGGACTAATTTTACATTATCTGTGACCCAAATAACACGAAACGTGCTGAGAAATCAGCGAAATCCACGCAATTTTATAATATTCGCTGTATGAACAGAAAGTTAATATGTTGGGTAGGAAAAAGAATATTGGAGAGACATTTACATTATACATTTTTGTGACACAAAGTGCACAATAATGAGTGTATAATAAGTAACAATTCATTCTTAACGTTGGAGTATTTGTTTTCCAAAGAAGCATTTAGCATTATACCATTAGAGTGGCTGCGACAGTTTTAATATATTTATTCGTTGGGTATTTTTCCTTCCCTTTTAAATAAAGAAAACTTGTTGCATTAGTGATCTTATTAAAAAAATTTTTTAAAAGTCGATTGCGAGCGAGAGGAATAGCGTGTCTAACCGATACCGCACATGTCATTACTCGCGTTTGGAAAAACGACATGAAACGAGTTGAACGTGAAAGCGTAGGGGTGGGAAAATGCGCGCGTAAAATGCGACGACCTGATTTCCCACGGTACAAATTCGCGTTACAAATCTGGCAAAATCGCGCGCGCCTTTTTTCTCTCTCTTTTTCTGTCTCTATTTTTCTCTCTCTCTTTCACTCACTCGCTCGTTCGCTCGCTCGCATTTTTTCCTCCGGCTCATCGCGAACTATAGCGGAAATAAACAATGATCGAATGTAGCACGCAAACCGGTTAGGAAATTGAATCGTGCAGTAAGGCATTCGCGGAACTGAGTGAATTGCTGGCAGATCGACGCTGTCTACCAACATTCGTCGTCGTGTATATCTCTGACGTGAAATTATCTATCTATCCTTCTAATTATCATCGCATTTCCAATTCCTGATTAACAAATCCGACGACCGTGCGATTCTATTACTGCCTGAATGAGTCGATGGCAATAACAAGTATAAGACCCGTATTAATAATCGTAAGTATAAGACCATAATAATAATCGTATTAATAATCGTAAGTATAAGACCATAATAATAATTACTTGAATTTCTCAAGTTACTTGAATCTCTCAAGCGGGGTACTCAGATTCGATTTCAAAGCTAAATGAGAGTTTTTCAGTTGAATCGCGATTAGAGACGTAATGACATTTGTCATATAATCCGAATAAAAAGTTTTGATATAATTCTGAATAAAAACCTGAAACCTCTGAGTATACTTCACGTAAGTCTTCAACGACAATTACGGCCTTTACCTGTACGGGTTTTATTTGTTCAAAGTTATTGGTAAGCTAACCAATAGTTAAATCATGTTTAACTTTTATTTTTCTTCCAAATTAGACAGACATATGACAAACTGTTAGCTTATCAAGAGGTTGGCCGGAAAAACTGACCTTTAGAGACACCGATTCGACACGTCACGACAAGCATCGGTTGCGTGCAGCGAAAAAAGGAAGCTTACTGCCTAATAACGTACTTAGGTTACATTCTGACACTACTTTCGACATTCCTGATATTTTTTCTCTCATGAAACTCATTTTCGATGGACAAGAGACGCGTAAAGTGCGGAGCGACGTCGATCGATGTGTTCATGGTGGTTGCTCGATTCAAAAAGATCGATGTCGAAGATGGCCGCGCGATTGATGACGTGCGCTGTAGATGCGAAACGCGAACGGTGTCGCAGTCCGACGAAGATGCGCTCTCGCGGCACGCTGATTGGTTACCGCATCTCGCCACTTGTCGCGTGGCAAGCGCCTCTGCGTTCTGTGTGCATACGGCGCGCATCTTCGATCTCTTTGCCTCCAGCAACCGCCATGGACACATCGATCGACATCGCTCCGCGTTTCACGCGTCTTTTATCTGCGGAAATAAATACGGGAGTGTCGACAACAGTGATGCACGATCGCCAAAACGTATCTCAGGTATGTTATTAGAAAGTAATCTCCTCGTTTCGCGATACATCTATCCAACTATCTTACATACAACCACTGCTTGTCGCGTCGGCGTCTCTCTCTCTCTCTCTCTCTCTCTCTCTCTCTCTCTCTCTCTC